GCTTCGTGTAGCTTTGCGCGATATTCAAAAACAAACAAACAAAACACTTAATTTTCACAGCCACTTTAAATTAAACATACGCTATAATTCACAACGAACGATTCACGCCCTTTACTTACGTCACTACCGCGCTTGACTCAATTATCTGTCTCTATAACTTGCCTGTCTGCAATTTAATTTCGATTAATTGTCTGGCGCACTTATATACAAGAAGAGAGGGCGCCTAGCAAATACTTGATTATTCGTGATGTTCCCCGATCTTTCTAGAACTCATTACGTGTTACCAGAGTCACGTGACTTCCGCTGTCGTGACAATATGATGACTGGCAAATATATTTCATTATCGAGAATATCAATTAACTTATTTTTAGAATAATGATTAAATAATAAAAAAATTGGATGTAAAATTATTAGCACCCTGCCCCCATTCTTATTTCATTTATTTTTATACACGAAAATAAATATACTGTGTTTGTTTCCCAGCTTATTTACAAAACACTTTCCTACCTAAATGAATAAGCAGGTTTAGTAGTAGTACCATATCAAAAATTCTTACTATAGCTAATATAATCTGTACAGCAGTTTTCTATCAATCTATTGTTGCAAGCTATATTTTCAATGTTTTCATTAAGATGTTAGCTAGAGGGCGCATCAGGTCAAGATCAAGCAAGCTAGAGTACGAATAATATTTAGGATGATATCACAAAAATCTAGTAAACTCGAAGAACATTTAGAAGTGAGACATATGACCAAAAAAAAAAATCAGAAGGCTGGTCAATTAGGGAGCTAGCAATATATGTCAAAGTGAAGTATTCACGTGTGATTGGCAAGTAGTTGTTGATCAAGTGTTAGTCAGGCTTTTAAGTATTTAATTTGAGTGAAGTATTTGGATGAAAGCTAGTTATCCCATACATTCAGTTATTCGATAGATTAGCCGAGAAATTTTACAAGTGAACTTACTTGTATGATAGTATTTCTATTTGAATGTTATTTGATAAACTCTGTCTACAAGACACAACGTGTATAAGTTTGTAGTAACGTTAAGGAAGCAATAACTTAATTTGTTATTGTTACGTGACTGGATTTAGAATTATTTTCACCAGATAATTTGAAATATATCGCCCAATAACCCAACAAAAGAACTATGTAACAACAATGGTGTCAGAAATGGGATTAATTTGGTGACAATAAAAGCAAACATTGAATAAACTACAACTTTCAAAATGATCTCATTGAAGCAGTATCAGAGATTTATTGGAGTTAATAAGACATGTAGCAGCAGATAAAAGAACTTCAAGAAGAGAGAAACAGAAAATTAAAAGAAGACCAAGAATAGACAGAAAATTAGAAGAACATGGCAGGAAATTAAAGGAAATCCATGGGGTAAAAAATAAGAATTTTTGTTTATTTGTTTGTGTTGAATTTTGTGTAAACTACTTGAGGGTTATGTGTGATAGCTGTCCCTAATTTAGGAGTGATAGAGTAGAGGGAAAAAAATAGTCAACACCATCCACAACCAACTCTTGGACTACTGTTTGACCAATTGATAATGGCATTGACTGTCACATTATAATGTCCCAATGGCTAAAAGTGTGAGCATGTTAGGTGATAGAGATTCGAGTCTATGACCTGCAGAGTACGTGTTCAGTGCCCTAACCACCAGACTATGCCAGGTCCAATAAGAAGTTATGAGAGAAGTTAAAAGAAAGAGACATAATATCTAAAGAAAGATTAACATCAAAAATAGATCTGATTGGAGTTGAGATTCACAAAGCTATAGGGAGCGTATGTAGGGATTACAACAACAAGTTTGAAGAAATGCAGAAAGACATGAAGACTGCAATGACAAAATTGAAGAAGCACAAAAAAAAAGACATCAATGACAAAATTGAAGAAGCACAAAAAAAAGACATCAATGACAAAATTGAAGAAGCACAAAAAAGACATCAATGATGTACAGAAAGTCATCTATGAAATAGAGGGAGATTGTAATAGCAAGATCAGTGAAGTAGAAAAGAACATAAGTGACAGAATATAAAATTTTGAAAATGAAATGGTAATGTGAAGATTAAACCAGTTACATCTATTTCTGCATCTGCCCAAGAATTCCAACCTAAAGCACCATTTACTACAAAATATAGAATATGAGAACTTATTTGGTCTATATATATTACTACTACTTCTATGCTGTCTATTATGTAAGATCTTCTTGGAGTACTTCAGTTATGTCACCAACAAATCCAATTCCAGAATTTAGTTAGCCTGTTCAACCTCAGCCAACTGAGAAACCAATAGATATGATAGAAAGGTATCATAAGAGGCATACCAGGCTCAGTTCAAAATTATTTCCAGAGTGAACAGGTGGAATAGTGAACAACAAGTTATACATTTTGCTAACCATTTAAAAGGACCAGCTTTGAAAACATTAAGTAACATTCCAGCTGAGGGTTGTAACAACTATCAAGTATTAGTACCTGCCTTATCCAGTAGGTTTGAAATAACACATCAAAACGAACTATCCACAGCAAAGTTCCAAAATAAGGTATGGAGGAAACAAGAGACCCTAGCCAAACTTGTAGAAGCTTTAGAAAAGCTTGACCAATTATTGTACCAAGATACATTTCATGAAATTATGATTTCGTTGGCATGTAACAATTTTATAGATACCATAATACATGAAGATATGGAAATTATGCAGAACCAAAATAGTTGTATATCTAGGAAGATCTGCAGTTGGCAATGAAACTTGAATCCAGTCCATTTGCAAATAAACTACTAAATGAACCATCTAGAAGTTATGGGAATATCAAATCCCGTAGTATTGAAGCATTATCTCCTGAAAGAATTAATCATATAGCTAGTTACACAAAATGGAGGAAATAAATCACAAGAAAATATATATTTCAAGTGTAATTTGAAAGGACATATTGCAAGGAACTGTGTGAAATAAGAACTCCACCCAAATGATACTAGAAAGAGGGAACTGTTATAATTATGATAAGTGTAACCATAAGTGTAAGAAAGACCCCAAGGATGAGTTTTAAAGCCTAACCAGGTCAAAGGAACAACAAAAGGCTAACCAGGCATCAAAATGAAGGAACAAGCTGGATTTATGGGATGAAGTTCAGCTGGAAATATTGTGTCTACTTCAAATAATGAAAGAAGTTAATTATTAGAGGAAAATTTTCCACGAGCCCATGGGTTTATTGATAAAAACAAACTTCGCAGTATGTTGATCAACATTGTTTTTATAGCTACAATCCCAACTACATGAAAGAGAAATTAGAAAGTTAAGCAGATACTGGAGAGGACCTTATGTTGAACTGAAAAGAATCAATGATATGATTTACAGTATTCGGAAAGACAGGCAGCCCAAGCCAAAGGTTTTCCACCAGGATCATCTTTGGAAGTATTGACAAGACCCACATACCTGTTAATGTGATATAATGGTCAACCCTTAATTACAGTCATTTTAGCTCAATCCCCAATATTTCCTTCTATTTCATGTTTGTAAAACATTTGCTATTATGGGCACTCGTATTGCAATCAACTTGGCTTGTGGCCACCTGTTTCCCAGTCCCAAGTGGTCAACCCTTAATTACAGTCATTTTAGCTCAATCCCCAATATTCCCTTCTATTTCATGTTTGTAAAACATTTGCTATTATGGGCACTCGTATTGCAATCAACTTGGCTTGTGGCCACCTGTTTCCCAGTCCCAAGTGGTCTCTTCGAACTCAGTATTGTGGCCACCCAGGCTGGCTCTCACCTGCTGCTGCCCAATTGAGACCTGTCAGTCAAAGTGAGGCCACTACCGTACAACTACTGATAGCGGCCACGTCTTGCAGGTGTTACAAACCTGGTGATCATTGATGTTCCCTATTAATGTCACGCTAATCTTACATGATGCTTCACACCTCATGCTGCACTGATGATCACACAATCACACATACACGATCAAATAAACAGTATGTTTCACACTCCTTTAAACTTTCTAATTTGTAACACTTCTATTTCGTGTCTCGTTGTGTTCTTGAGAACAAAAGATTTGCTCAAAGAGGAAAATTCACACAGTCATTTCAAGTTTTGTCACCTTTCCCTCCATTTTGCAATAAATAGAGCTCTACTTTCTCAGCCAAATCAATTGTTTCTGTTCTAGTGATGGAAATGGCAGAAAGCTGTTGTTCCATGATTTAAGTATCATTACCGCCAGGTGTCACCACATGTGCACATAAACAACAGCGCCATGCCTTGGCCTCTGATACTGTGTGGTGCAAGGAGAAGTCATGAAGCTCATCGTGGTTCAAAATTTTGCATTTATCTGTTAATCAAAAAATACAATATATAATTTTATTTTTTAGACAAGAAGTGGGAAAATGGATAGGTAAAGATGTCATTACAACATTCTGTATCAAACAAGAACATACAAAAGGTGATTATTATGTGCGAGTTGTAGGGGTATGTACTGTGCCTTTGTACGGCCATCCTGCTATGCGGCCATTAATTGCTTAGACCCACAGCTGACTGGATAAATGGGACTGGACTGTACATCAGCGAGAAA